AGAGATGGTGGAAATGCCAAAGCATGTATTCTGCTATGAAGCTGTGCATGAGTCTGAGGGGTTGGATTTGGCGGAAGGGAGAAAGAGGTAAATATCTGTGGTTATCCTACCTGCTTTTCTGGCCTGGGTAAGCAGAGGGTGCCCAGGGAATGCCTACTGGAGATGGAGGCTGGAATCAAGGGATGAATGGGGGAAGGGGAGGTTGGAGGAGAAGATCTGTGTGCCATGCTAGAGACAGGGCAGACAGGGAGGGGGCACAGCGAGTCGTCTGCTACAGAGCTAGATGTGTGTGACTTGGGGGTTGGCTTTTGAGTGGTGAAGATCTTCAGTTAGTCTACCTACTTTCCTGGTCTGTGTGGCCAGCAGATTCCCAGGGAATACCTGTGCAGTCAATTCTATTTTGAATACCTGCGCAGTCACGTCTATTTTGAATACCTGCGCAGTCACGTCGTCTATTGTGAGATCCACTCGGTGATGACATTTTATGGCTTTAGTCTCATGCCAGGAGGAAAAGTGAAGATGAGCGGTTTCACAGTGGGGTTCTACTCTGTCCTCTAATGGGAAAAACATTAATTAAAACTTTTAATATTTTAGCTTGGGAAACCTTAGCAGCTATGGGCCCGAATCTATTACGATGTTCTGTGTTTGAGGGATCCGCAGCTGCGGGACAGCTGTGCTTCTGGCTCCCTGTTTTCCTTCCCGTTCCGTCTCTAGGCCCCTACACTTCTCTCTACCTCTTCCCACCCACTGCCTTGGTTTGTAGTCCCTTCATTTGCTTCTCTACTCTATCTAAGGATTGTATTCAGTGAGAACATCTAGAATCTTTTCCATTACGGGGGACCCTAACCTTTTACCTGCTCTGGGATTCTTAGTCTCAGTGGATCTCATTGCTCTGTGTCCTCATATCAGGGCCCTCATTGGCATTTCTGATGCTCTAAGGCTTGCCTCTTCCACGCTATGTTGCTTGGCTCCTCTATGTGTTCATACGTTCACGGTGCAATGTGTGTGGTTGGCATTCAGTAAGCAATGAGTAAACGAGAGACACTCCTATCTAGTTAACTTTTATCAATACCAGGTCATCTCCTTTAAATTTCCTGCTGCTTGAAGTTCTCATCATCACTTCTTTGGCCCACAGAGATACCTCTTTATTTGACCACAAATTTGGGAACTGTTACATTGGTTATACTACCCACTTGATGTGTTCTTCTGTTTCTAAATCTTTTGATACAATATGTATGTATTTAATATAGAAATACCCACTGCTTCTTTTTTTTTTTTTTTTTTTTTTTTTTTTTTTTTTTT